ATTATTACGATCAGTGACAAGGAGACATTTTCTATTAACGCAATTTTCTTTACTTTTTTATTTCTTTTCTTCGTTTCGTTTTTTTTTTTTCTTCTTTTTTATCCTTCATCTGCGTCTTCTTCTTCTTCTTCTTCTTCTTCTTCTTTTTTTCTTTCTCTTTAACTTAACTAAAAATAATAGACTAATCAATCCTGTCACTGATCTGTCGCGAACGTACTTATTTCATTAATAATCTCGCAAAAAAAAAAAAGAAAAAAAAAAAAGAGAAAAAAAAAGTAAATAAAGAAAGAGAGAAGAAAAAAGAAAAAAACTTTCGAACAATACCCTGGTACTTTTGGAATGATTTGACGAAGAAAGATATATATGTATATTTGTATATATACACCTGATGTATATATATATATATATATATCATCAATTTCGTCTATCTAAATCTAATAAGATATATCAGGCATCCCTATTCGTTTGATATATATATTTGATATATATATATATATATATAACAAATATACACACAACGGCCGCCTAAACAACACACGTGTGTGACATATCTTCTTATGTCCTTATCTACACTTCTTTTTTTTTTCTTTTTTCTTTTATTTTTTTCACATTTTTCTTTTTTTTCCGTTTTCATTATTGTTACTATTATTATTATTACTATTATTATTATTATTATTATTATTATTATTATTATTATTATTATTATTATTATTATTATTTAATAATTATATCACAGCGAAATAAAAAAACAGCCGAGATCGCTAAAAGTTACGAATTTTATCTTTAGAACGAGATTTTATTTTTTTCCCCTTTGCGACGAGTTCGAATTATCGTGCATAAGAAAAAAATAAAACAATATATATAAACATATATATATATATATATATATATATATATATATATATATATATATACACATATAATTTTCGCCTATCTAATTGTTAGTCTAAGATGGTATTATCGAGCTTTTTTACTCGTATTTTATAACAAAAAACACACATCGGGCGCCTAAACAACACACATGTGTGGCAATACCCTCATATATCATTTTCTACACTTTCTTTTTTCTCTTTTCTTATCATTATTTAATAATTATATCACAGCGAAAAAAAAAAAAAATAGAAACACCCAAGATTGTAAAAAAAAAAAAAAAAAAAAAAAAAAAGAAACTGCTGTAAGTTACGAATTTTTATCATTAGGACGAGACTTCTTTTTCTCGTTTATCAAAAAGAAAGAGAAAGAGAGTGAAGAAAACTAAAGAGAGAGATGGAGAGAGAAAGAGAGGAAGGAAGGGAGAGAAGGAGAGAGAGAGAGAGAGAGAGAGAGAAAGAGAAAACGAGAAGCAAACTAAAGTTTCTCTATCTCTCTTTACAAACGTGGACATTAGTTCACCAATATCCTGTTTTCACATAATTTTCATAAGAAGGCACGCTAAAAGCTTTTTTTTTTCTTTCTTTTTTCTTTTTTTTTTTTTTTTTTTTTTTTTTTTTTCTTTTTTCTTCCATTTAATACCCGCATTATCGACATCAGTCAATCCTCGAATAACAAAGAAAAAAGAAAAAACAAATTAAACAACATTAACAACAATATAATTAATTACGATATCGATCACGTTATTCAACGATTATTACGACGAAAGAAAAATATTAAAAATAAACATACGATAAATAGATATAGATTGATTGGAGAAAGAGAAAAGAGAGAGTTGTCATTCGATCATTTAGAAATTAATCAAATAAATTTTAACAAATATTCCAATCTCTTTTGTCTTTCTCATCATTATTATCTACAACATCTTAATGCGCGTAAGAAAATAAAGAAAAGGAAAAAACTCAAAAGAGAAAGAGAAAAAGAGAGAGAGAGAGAGAGAGAGAGAGAGAGAGAGAGAAATAGAGATAGATAGAGATAGAGATAGAAAAAAGAGAGAAGAAGAAAAAGAAAAAAGAAAAAATAAAAAGAAAGAAAGAATCATATTTGAAAATATTACATTTTAAAAATTGTCACTTAGATACATTAGTGTGTGTGTATGTCCTCATTTAATTAATATTAAGTGATTATTTAATGAGATATCAATTTATATCCTCGTCTATATGTATATACATACATGTATAACGAAAAGATGTGAACGTACAGGACGCAATGACTATTGAATGATCCTATTGAAAAGGATTCACTTCGAATGTTCTTTTTGTATCGTTTACGTTTCGATTCGTTTCATTTCTTTTTTCTTTTTTTTTTTTTTTTTGTTTTTTTTTTTCTTTCTCTCTTCACAAACGAACAAACAGACAGACAGACTGACAAACAGACGACATACAGACATACAGCAGACGGAGACAGACAGACAGATACGTGGGCACGTACGCACGCACGCACGCTCGCTCGCGGGCACACACATACACATAAATTCGCGAATCCGTGATGGACGGCGATCCGAGTAATTACGCGCGACGATGACCTCAATAATGATGATGATAATCGACTCAGATACCGTACTTAAGAT